ATACGCCCCCTCCACGATACGATACGTATTGCAATACTTGTGTCACAATTCAATTTTTTCAATACGATACAATTTAAGAACGAAACTATTCATAAGGTTAAAGAAAACATATTCAGATTTCAAAAACAAAGAGTAAAAGGTGGTGATACAATAGAAATAAACTACCAGGGGTATGCAATTTCAAAATTCAAGTACTAGCCCACGGACTAGTGGCAGCAATAAAGTTACTAGCCCCAAGTAAAAAGTTACTAGCCCAAATATAGGGACAAAAATTAAAACAAAACTAATGTTGAAAAAAAATTAATCATTGAAAAAGTCAGGGTACTAAGGTCATTCTTTTGAAAATTAAAATTTTATTCTCACTATTCAAATTAAATCATATGTCATATAAAGATTATGACAGAAAATAAAAATGAATTTAAAAAAAATATCTGAAGATCTTTCCTTTTCTGATTATTTTGCACTAGCTCATTTAGAATGAAAATAAATTCATTTTGTTTTCGTATTAAATCCTTAAATACACTAGAAATATATTTCATTTGAATCACACTGATCTTTCAGTTGATTGAGTGATAGCGTAAATAATTTGAGATATCTGCATGTATTTACAATAAACGGAGGAAATTCGGATTAGGAAAAAATATGATCGTTTTTGGAAGTAAATAAGTCAGGAAGTACTGCAAAATGGAGAAAATTATGGAGATTTATTGACAGTAGGAGCATGCTGCCTGGAAAATATTCACTGGTTCGGAATTTGATAGCAAAAAATGAGTAAAATACCTGTTGTACTTTTCATGTATTACATGCGTAGTCATAATTTTTACTAGACCGAATTTACTAATTTGTTAATTGCACATCTCTGATACTTGTGGTTCTGTTGATTAAGAACACTTTATTTGTATAAATAATAGCAGAGGCAGCCTACTCTGAAACTTTACCGTCCCAATTTTCTCCCTCGTGTGTGTCAAACTGTTAAAATAAGGTCGAACCCGATCTATTTCAGAGAGTTAACCAAACCCGATTATAAAAAAACGTATCGAACCGAAAATCGAGATTGTGAATCGAATATTGAACCGAGCACTTATATCGAACAATATCGATATTTCGCTGAATCGTTTCAGCCCTAACAAAAGTTGTTGCGTAGAATGTCCAGTTGATACTGTTGGAGAATTTTGTTTTGTAGTTTATCCATTTACTTTGATTTATAGAATGTCCAGTGAATACATTTGGATAACTTTGTTTGTAGAATATCCAGTGAATACATTGTATATAACTTTGTTTTATAGAATTTCCATTGAATACATTTGGATACTTTTGTAGAATGTCCAGTGAATACATTATATAACTTTGTTTTGTAGAATGTCCAGTCAATACATTTGGAGTACAGTGTCATGAGTGCCATTGTAAAACAGCCTGTGATAGAGAGACCGGGTCCTGCACACGATGTATGGAAGGGTGGCACGGACCAAACTGTCAAATGAGTAAGTAATCAAATATTGTTGAATAAGGCTTGTATATCCTTATGCCTAGTCTCACCCAATGAAGTTTCATTAAGTGCGAAAGTTTAAAATTCAAAAAGAATTTCACACAAACATTCACTTCCAGTTGTCATGGTTTGGGTTGTGGATATTGGCCTGAGTAGCTCATTCAGTAGAACACCTGACTGATGCAGGGGTCCCAGGTTTGACTCCCAGGCCAACCATACATTTTGTCCTTTCATTTTACACAATTTTGAGGGAAGAAACTGCAAACTATCAGTGATTTTATCATGTAAAAGAAACTCTCTTTCTGGGTAATTATATACTGTATATTTTGATGATGGATGCATGGATATTAAAATGCACCCAGTATGTTTCACTGTATCAATAAGATTTCAAATGCCGCATTCATTCATTACAGTAAGAATGACCAGGTTAAAGTTTTTGGAGTATACCTAGGTTAAAGTCTTTAGAGAAAGTCATTCCTAAGTATTAAAGGATGCAAATTAGGAAACATGCTTGGATACTAGGCTTGTCGAAATTTTTAAATCACTGTCAGACATTTGGTCTGACAGAGTCAAATGTTCTGTCGGACCAGTCAAAGTTTTGTCATACCAGATACAATTACCTCATTTTGAAGCTGTGAAATTGATAAGAATAACAGCATCAAAATGCCCTGGATTATTTCAACAGCCTTCAATCTTAAAAGTTTCCTGCCTTGCAGTTGGGATAGAGAGTATTTTAATAAAAGACATAAATGACAGGTTTTATGACTTTGCTTTAACAAATTTAATTGGCTATTGTCAACGCGCCGCGTACGTGACAATTTTTTTCTGTGTTTGTGACCTTCAGCTGCGCATTCCGATTCAGACCTTTATTAAATTTGCATTACACTCAATTTTTTTTAAACGGTCATCTGGACCGATGTTTTTTTTAAAGTAATCATTTCAAACAATTTTTACTGGCCTTGCTGACAGGAACGACAAATTTCAACAAGTCTGAGGTACAAGATCTGACATGCAATTTCCTCGTGAGTTACCAGCCTGCAGATTTAAGTTTGTGTGAACCATATCTCTATCGTTAAAACTAAAGGTCTTCCTCAAATAAATGTGAAAAGAGGGATTCATTCTACCAAAGACTTGTTTTGGATGCTGATTTTAGTTTTCCAAATAGTTACTATAGGTTTTACCCAGACCAAACTTGTATGGAATGTTGTAACTGTATATAATGTTGTATCTAAGGTTGCAAATTACCAAAACATTTATTTAGTTTTATTATAACGATACTTTGTCTTTCATATAGATATATTATCGTACTTCCTTTATTACAAGAATGTTCAATTTTTATTTATTCAATATTTATTATTATTATTACATGTATTATTTTTTATCATCCTGTGGTTTTCTATACTTTGGATCCAGTGTGAGACTATACTATGAATATGTAACAAATCCTACATTTTCATGATGATACAACTTGTCTCCATGTCAGACCTAATTACTAAGTCATATTACATTATGCATATATAATATTCAATTGTAATCAGTGTAATCATATTGTAATAATTTGTTCATGCCCCCTAAGGGCCCTTGATTGGTGAATAAACATATTATTATAGATAACATTTGTTTAGAGGACTGATGAGCTTCATAATCTTTGATTACCTACATTTTACTTAATAAAAATTGAACACATAACTTGAACATAAGTTGATGTATAACATTCATACTACATGTATATCATTTGTTGAGAAGGGACAAAATCATTTGAATTGACTGATCACGGAAAATATGGTAATTGCTAGTACAATATAAAACAAATTTAATTGTTTTACTCAAATATATCAAATATTATATACACTACATTGATAACCTTTTTATTCATACAGAAAATGTGGGCTTAAAACAGAAAACAAAAGCAAGAATATATGGGAGAAACTATGGAGAAGAAACAGTTAATGGAAGAAGAGATGACTGCACGCTGTTGACTAATTCTGAGGAAGTGATGAGACTGAGAATAATCCTGGAGAAGAACTACAACATTAATGGCATCACTGTGTTTACTAACAGTAAGTCCTGTGATTTTTGTTGAAAGTACATACTTTACCTTTTAATTCTATAAATTTAATTTTAAGTATTTTCATCCCTTTTTTGTGAAAAATTGTTATTAGTTTAAAGTCATATCCAATAGAAAAATTTCTTTTGGGAGAAAGGTTTTGAAAAGGTGTAATGAAAAACATTGTTAATTAAAAGAATTTATAAAATATATATGTAGGACTCCAAAGTCCAATGGTCTGCAAAAAATCCAGATGGTTTGAAACACCAAAGTTTGATGATGAAAACAATTAACATTTATGACATCATAGTACTATGCACAAAAATGCAATGCTGCACCATGCCAAGGCATGATTGTTTTAAATCATTAATTGCAAAGACTAACCCTCATCTTTCGGATAGGTGTAAGACTTACTCTTATCGGTATATTAACATTACCCTTAATATCTATGGTGAGTGCTGGAATAACCCAAATCAGTCAAACAGTGTGAGAGAACTAATGCTAAATTTCTCAGATTGGTTCGAAGTAACACAAATGTTCCAGGACTTACCCTAACCAGTCAAGGACAAAGCTTAGTATCTCTATTAGGTGAAAGCAATAAGCAAAATCAGTAAAAATGTATCTGATGATGAATGCCAAAATGATGGAGTTTGAATACAGGACAATGGTGTCGAGGATTGATGTAAGATTATTGTGACATCATAAACGTTGAGATTGTTCCTCTGCACCATCGGACCTTGGCATATCAGACTTTAGTGCATTGCCTTTAAGTGGAAACTATGCACCCCAAGCCAAAGAAAAACGCATGTGCAGAACAAAATTTACGTGGCAACGTGTTTCATTCGTAGCAGACGTGTTGTTACCAAGTTAATTTTTCTGAAAGCCTTTGGACTTTGGCTCCGAAGAGATGTCGAGCCATCAGGTTTTGGCACAGACCATTGCACTTTGGAGTCTTACATATATTTTCTTCATTTTTAAAATAGCTTATTCAATCTTAAAAATGTTGTAAAGGGCAATAACTCTTCATTTAGGCAATTTCTATATACTTCTAATATAAAATAGATATCTGATATTTAAGCAAATTTATGTTTTTTCTGTTTTGACAGTAATCTGAATTGCCCTTAATTGTGTGTTTAAACTCAAATATTTGGTTGGGATTGAAATATTTTTTGATTTACTATTATTTGTATTTTTTATTCAGGTTCAGTAAAGAGCCGCAGTAAAATGGATGGGTTTGATATAGTTCTATCAGAAACTGAGCATGTTGGTGCAGGCACAGTGTGTTATACACAGTCGGAGGAAATCGCTGAAACTGGCCGGATTGACACCTCTTGTCGGGGAAGGGCTACAACTGTTTTTATCCGCAAGAAATATCCCCCTTACTTTCTCTTCATCTGTGAGGTTGAAATTTACGGTAAAGTTCTAAAATTTAAGTGCATGAAATATTTTGGTAAAAATTTGTGTCAAAAGGGATAGAACTTAAGACTGTATATGTGCATGTGATTTAATTTTTTTATACGAGGGTCATTCAAAAAATATGTAGACAATGCTTCTCATCGTCATATAATTATTACAAGATTATAGATCAACACATTTTTGTAAACATACATATTTATTTTGTCGAAGTGTGAAGTTTCATTCCATTTGATTAAATAGAACTCATGTTAGACAAAATTTAAACCGACATGATTTGTTACCACGGAGCACGGTTAACCAACATTGTAACGTCAAAGACAACGTTGAGAAAGTTTGTCAAAATTATACAAATTATCTTAATTTCAAACACGGTTTGTAGCGTCTTCTCCATTCAAAAAACATATCCATAACACTTAACACCTAGTTTGCGAACAATTGTACAAATATAGCTTGAATAAGACTGTCATTGTTTTCCAATTCTTTGATTTACCATGTAACTCTATTAATTCTGCAACAGTGAAACACACATCACGTTCAATGACGTTCCTAACTCTTTCAACAATATTTTTAACTTTAACCTGTTTCTTTGCAGACAATCCATCGTCCGATTCAAACTCGCTACCACTCAAAAATTGTATTTTCCATTTAATACAAATACACAGATTATTTTTCATACAGATCCTGGTTTATACGGATTTTTTTTAGCTTTTAGAAGACGTTTCCCGAATGTAAAGTACAATTTTATTGCTACTCCCTGCTCCGTGACGTCCTCCAACGTCATGGTTTTTTGCTTTTTAAATCAAGTCCATATGTATTTAGAAACTGATATCTTTTAAATGAAACGACATAGTACATAACCTGATTTCATTTTAATTAATACAGCAATACTTTATTTAAACATGTAAATTTTATTTCGTTTCAGCTCCATTTATTAGAGGTATGACTGTAAATACTATAAAGTGAAAATTAGAAAATTACTCAATTTTGACGGTGCTCCGTGACCCCATTTTTGCTGTTCAAAATCCTTGGTAATTTTAATAAATACGAAGATACATGCCAATTTTTTTACTCAATTTATTTGAATCTGTTGTTAAAATATTTGTACCAAATTTGGATATAATATGACGTTAAATAAAAAAGTTAAGACAAAAGTCTACGAACTTTTTGAATGACCCTCATATATACCTGCAATAATGAATGTAAGAATCCGTTTAGCTCACCTCAACGAAGTTGGGAGAGCTTATGTAATACCCTCGGGATCGGCAACCCAGGTTAAGGATAAGTTTTTTGGACCAGTTTTCTTTTTAAGTACTTCTATGTCCTATATTGATTAGACATGCATGGAAGATGCTTCTAATGTGTTTCATCGTACCACTCAAAGTTTCAGATGCTGCAATTTCAGCAAAGGAATGACCAGGTTAATGTTTTTGGAGCAGGTTAACATTTTTGGTGCAGTTTTTGGTGTAGGTCTCATTTACAAAGAACTATAAGCCCTGTGTTGACCAAACTTGCATGGATGATACATCTAAGGATGCAAACTACCAGGCTTGCTTCGGATGCTGAATCTGACCTACATTTTCTGCATGGGTGAACAGGGTAATGTTTTTGGTGCAGGTCTCATTTCCAAGTAACTATAAGCCCTATGTTGACCAAACTTGCATGGATGATACATCTAAGGATGCACACTACCAGGCTTGCTTCAGATGCTGAATCTGACTTACATTTTCCGGTTGAGTGAAGAGGTGAAAGTTTTTGGTGCAAGTTTCATTTCCAAGATACTATGAGCTCTATAATGACCAAACTTGATGGATGGTACATCTTAGTATGCATACTACCAGACTTGCTTCGGTTGCTGAATCTGAGCTACATTTTCCAGATAATGGACCAGGTAAAAGTTATGGGTGCAGGTCTATTACCAAGAAACTCTAAGGCTTATATAAACCAAACTTGCCCAAATGATGCATCATGGGATGAAAACTCTCAAACTTGTTTCAGATGCTGGTTTTAATCACATTTTCGTGATGAAGAATTAATTTGAAGTTTTTATATAGGCCTATCCCAAAGTATCAGATCAAAAATGCAGAAATTTTGCTTTTTTGGATGTACACTTTTTTGTTGGGTAATTGTGTGACTTTGCCTTACTTAAAGACAACATTCTTTGAGGTGAGCTCTGTAATCTCTGATTACCTATGTTTGGTTTATGGATAAAATGTTTACAGGTACATGTACATTGCTTTTATGCAGATAACAGTTTTAGCGACTATGACACATATATTGGTTAGGTACTTGTAAACGACTATGACACTTATATATGTGACGCGCCAAGCAAAAACCTCCCTTATCTTTATTATGACGTAACGTCAGAACATGCGTCTAAAGTCAACAAGGTAAATTCGACGTAAAAACGTGTCATTGAGAGAAACTCTCGATCCCGGTAGAACAAAGGGGTGTTGTTATATTTATATGCTAAGACAGATTCTTGGGTGTAATTTGATGTAGTTTATTCATTACAAACTTAGTCTCCGTCAAGTGTCTGTGTGATCTTTCCTTTTAACAATTAATTAAGTGTGTATTTTTTAAAGATTTCCAGTGGTGGCTGAAAAATTCCCGTAAGGCCGTTTTAAAATGAAGTTTGTTTGCCCTCTCCCTATTAGTGTTAAAAAATTGCATCGGTAGGTAATTCGAATTGTTTTTTTTGTCGGACATTTTCCGTGTTGAAAAAGATTGAAGGCATTTCTAAAATAAAAAGAAAGTTGTTGATAGGATGAGAAAATTCCGGAATAAATAATTTGGAAGTCTTAAAAAGATTTTAATCGATTAATTTTAAAAGGTCAAACAAACAAGTTTTTAAAGATAGTTTTTATTAGATTTAATGTCCAGCTGTTTCATCGTGATGCACATGCAAGAAAAATTTAACAGGAGCATTAAACTAAGTTATTTTTTTTTCAAATAACGATGCAATGAAAATTGATCTGAATAACTTATCTTTTATTTATGGAATGAATTAAATAGCTACCCAATTTATACGGTATAAACTGAGTTGGGACAGTTAACGCTGCCGTTTATATAAATAAAACGTGAACTATTATTGATAAATAGTTAAGTTTAATTAAAAAAAAAACATTCTCTATAGATACGACACAGAGTACTTCTTCCGAAATTAGACTTAGCTGTTGATTTAAAATGAATATTTTGAAGAAAAACCTGTTGAGCTTCTCAATTCATTTTATTGTTGGACACCTCATGTTGTACAAAAAATGTAGAAACCCCCCCCCCTTTTCTCCTGTGTCACGTGTCTGCTCTATTTCTTTGGATACTTCTTGAAATATTTGTCTTGAATATACGGATGCTCGCATACATTGTAAGTTACAGTCCCACTATCTAAAATATTTTATAATTGAAAATTAAACAGATTGAACATATGTTTATCGACCTTTTCATAATATGTTAGATGAGGTTATACACAATACACCGAATGTAAAAATCGCAAACATGATACATCGCTTAAAATGTTATGATTAATAGAAATTGTTACAAATTCATACGAATCGTTTGAACACTTTTAAAACATTCCAACTTATTATTATTTTGTGCATGGTTTATCGAAATGTACTAAAGAAGATTCTGGAGTTCTGGATTCCTGAAAACAACATTATTTCGATCATGTATAAAATCGCTGAATCAGGCTGTTGCATGTACATGTATTAACGTCTCCGGTGCTCATTCAGCCCTCTTAACTTAAAACATCAATGCAGTATGAAAGTATACATTGAACGTTTTAGAGTTTAAAGACTTTCTTTTTAATGATTTTATTTTAACCGTTAGTATTAAGGACTTTTTAACCTGTAATAAATATTTCCCCGACAAAGACTTTACTACAAACATTTCATGATTTAACATCTACCTTGAAAAATAATAATCTTGTTGTCTTCTGTTGAATCGCAATTAAATGAATATGTATTTTTATGCGTTTCAAATTATGAAAATTTGCTACCAATTACACGTAATTTATTAAATGTATTCATGTATAAAAAACTTTAACAATGTCAACAATTTTTTCCTGCAAAAGTTGTATTGAACATGCGTAATGTACATGTATGGGCAGTTTAATGCAAAATTAGTACGGTACAAATCTGCACAAAATATGTTAATCCGTGGTAATATGCATATATTTGTTCAAGATATATGGAAGTTGGAGGATATAAATATCTGAATATATTTTACTTAAGTCAATGATCAAAACGCTCTATATTCTAAGATAAAGAATATATCAAACAAAAAATACATGTTGGTCGGCTTGAATATTGCGTGCTTGATCAACTAACCCATTCATACAGCTTCTCGTGTATAAAAAATGTATATAAATAACAGCAATTAGTTATTTAAAAAAAATAACAAAAATAACAAAAGTTACAGTTTAAGATTATACATGTGTGCCTTGTTCTTGTTTAATTAGTTCAGGTAATCAATTAAGTGTAAATGTCCATAGCTGAGACCCCCTCCCCCCTCACGTTTACGATGATCGAAGAATATTAAGAATGTTTTACCCGTTTTCCTACTTTCTGTTGCTATTTTTAACATGCGTGTTTTAACCTATACTAAAATGCTACTAGCATTTAATATGGTTAAAATAGATCATAATGTGTGCATACATGTACTTTCTCAGGAAGGTAACAGTGAAGCTTAGTATATGCCTGAGCCTTATATTCCATGTCTAGAAATGAAGTTGTGGAGTGTACGTGTGTGTGTGATCACTTGTGGGATTCACATTTATTCTGGTACAGTCATTTAGGGTATTCCGAATCACCCCGCATTTCGCGACACTCGGTAATTAACCTTATCGCTGTATCTTATACGAGACATGAACACGTGTGACAACTAAATAGTCATAAACAACATGGTTCATGCTTAATACATACAAAAAATAAAGAGGTAAACTTAATGCGTTAATTAAGAAAATAATTAATTCATTCCTTAACTTGCTATCCTTCTCGAAGA